AAACGAACGCGTAATCGAGCGGATCACCAGTGTATAACTTAACAGTAAGTGTTAGTATGTGTTAATAGCAGATATTGTGATGACATGCCACACTTTTAACAGACTAGCAGGTTGTCTGAACTATTTATTTCTATATCTAATTTTGATATTATGAACTTGGTTGGAAACAGATGCAGCAGTCAAAATACAGCCGAAAGAAAAAGCCTGTGCGCCAGATATTTTGTGGAAGAAATACAAAATGGAAATGTTTCACCTGTCCTCGCTGGGTATATAAAGCCTCAAGTTTATTCACCCATCCCAGTTAATTCACTGGTTATACGCATTTGGGAGAACTTGTTAACGTGAACGTGTACTATTATGACCACCAGGAATTGTTATCCAACTCTCAATTGGTTTAAACGGGGGCCTTGTTACAACGATTCCCCTTATACCTTCATGCATAGTCAAACGGGTAATAATTTTAGGCCAATGAAGTGAAAATTGTCCATAGGAGTCAGGGGACCATCATTTTACACGTTTCACGTACACGTTCTTCAAAACGGTGCTTACCTTCTCGTATCAGGATTCATCGACGGCAGTAACTGCATCTTACAAAATGATGCGATTTAGTTTTTTTTAGTTTTTTTTTTTATTTTTTATAATTTTTTTATTTCAAAGAATAAGCATGTTAAAGCAATTGCAAAAAACAATTACAGTACAGTTACATGTAATCCTACATTTAACAATTTTACAATACAGTACAGTGGTTAAATATTTCGTCTTAAGAGACGTTATACCATTGGCATTTTTTTATTTATTTAAAGGAAAAAATCATCAGTTTCATTTGTTTAATTTTGTTTCCATGATTTTCCACTTATCGCCTCTGCCAACCCGTTTGTCCATAATAAAATATTCCTTCACATTACTTATAAAACCTTTAAGTGTTGGTTTTAGCATAGAATATTTGCACAAATAAACATACCTTTTAAAAATACATAGCATATTATTTAAGATGATTGTCTTCTCATTTATACTCTCAGGTCCTATCAATACATTTTGTTTAGTGCATAGCAATGTGAGCTCTAAAGGAAGCCATTGTTTAATGTCATTTAATACGGCACTTACAATAGTACATTCATACAGAAGATGGCAAATCGTTTCAGGATTTGCTTTACAAAAAGTGCAAATGTTTGACTCTACGAGTCCACACATTTTTAGGTATGTATTAGTTGCTAAAAATCTGTGAAGGACTTTATAAGTGAAGGATGATAACTTAGGTTCATAGTTACTCAGTTTGTTAAGTTTATTTATCTTCTTCCAATCATTTTGATTGAGTGACAAATTCAGATCTTTATTCCATCCTTCTATATATTTTGAATTCTTTTCTAAATTCTGAACAAATTCCCAGTATATTATTTTACTAATCTTTGACTGAGTAAGGAACTTTTGTACGTGTGCTTTATTTCTTTCATAATCAGTGGTATTCTGATTATTCTCCATGACGTCTCTTAGCCAAGATTTTGGAATAGTGTTTTTTAGACTCAAATAGTCTAAAAAATTAATATTACTGTGGAATTTGTCATTGAATTCTAAAAGCGTTAGAAGTCTTTTTGAATTATGAAATACCTCCTGTAGTACAATTACTTCATTGTTAACCTTTGTATTTTGCAGTATATATTGAACATTTTGATTTTTGGTATGTTTCCCCCATGTATTACACATAGCTTGTTCAGCTCTCAGTTTAGTATTATGTTCAGCTTCTTTTTCTTTCTGTTGTGTGTAAATTCTCAGAACATGAACAAAATCTCTCCAGAAATTATTCGAAATTTTTTCCTCAATTTTTTGAATTGATTTTGAATCATACATAAAAAGCTCGTTTCTTGATCTTACATTGATGATTTTTAAAGCAGTTTCTTGCCAAGAGCCATCTCTAAGAAGTTTTTGCATCCATGTAAGTTTGAGGGATTGTTCAAAGAGCGTTTGTTCAATCATTCTCAAACCTCCATCTTCAACATTTTGAACTAATTGCGAGAAGCTTACTTTTGCTACTGTGGAATTCCATATAAAAGAAGTAAACAGTTGTTTTATTCTTTTATGATTTGCACATGACAATTTGGGTAACACTAGAAATAAATGTACTACTTTAGGCAAAACAAATGATTTAAGAACCGTTATTTTTCCTACTATTGATAAGTTTCTTTTTCTATATCTACTTATTACAGTTTGCATTTCCTGAATTTTATTTTCAAAATTAATGGATTCAATATTTTGAAGATTAGTTTTTGCTTCGTTTTTAATGACAATTACAGCCGTACGTATACCAATCACTATGGTGTTAGGTGTTATGTTGCTTAGTGATCATATATCTCTAAACATTTAGCATTTTAATTTCCATAGACTTCAAGGGATAATTGTAAATACATGGTAGACAACGTCCACGTCCAGCCGAGGCAAAAAGGTCTGCATAAGGGACCAAGGGTAAATTACCAGGCTGGTAGAACGCCAGTTGAGAACGCGTACCTGTTGGTCGCCTCTGCTGTTCAAAATATAAGTAACAATGTTAGCAAAGTCAGGAATCTCGGTGGAACTTTTTAGTTCCGTTTAAAAAATCATTATGGTTAGGTAGGTTTACTGAGTTTCGACATTTTCATATTTTGCAAATGTGTGTTTTTTTAAAGAGTGAGTGAATCATCATGTTGGATATGGAAAAGAATGTGCATATCTGCCTCATAGTAATTTTTGATGATTCTTTCCGTCAAATGTTGTAAGTTTTCACAATAACCGCAAACAGAATGTCTGTGGCCACGATAACATAACGGGGCAACCATATTATATTATTTTAGTTTTTGTAACTATAAGAGTTGATTGGTGGGTTAATCACCTTATTAGTAATAGATTAACAATTGCCGATTTAGAGCTGATTTGGTCGGTATCCAATGGTACGTAACTTATTTTGCCGACAACACAAACGTTACAATATACTCTAGATACCGTAATTTATAAATTATAAGACCCACGTGTTTTCTTGTGGATTACTTGATACCGATGATCTCCTATGCTTCACAACACAACAGTTTGGCATGATCCATCATCAGTTAGCTTTTTTAAATTGCTCTCCTACACATTATACATGTACATACTTAGTACATTTACCTGGGCGTACCTTGCACTATTAGGGCAACCATTTGAATAATCATTTATAGGTAAGAGGATGCGATGTGTGTTAAAGCCATTAGCCCGTAGCGAGTCCATCTTGCAAGTTAGTGAGTCTTTGATTGGACAAATTGTTCTGTTAAACGGACTACTTTTGTGTTTTTTTCAAAATGATAGCATCATGAGCATACACAATCAAATAATTTATTTAGCCATAAATTTTGACCCTCAATAATGGTCCATTTGAAAAGAAATGAGGCTTTTTACTCTTGAACAGCATTCGGCCAGAACTTCGTAAGGGTGTTCAACTCATAATTTGCTGGAAATTCCACGGTACTTAGTAAACACCTAGGAATCGTAGATTGATAATGTTGCACTTCATCATCTACTCTCGACGAGAGGTGGCCAAGTCTTGCGCCAGTTTGTTTATAAACACATTCGAAACAACACAAATCCGAAGTATTGCGTTATATAATATAACACTTAAGGATTCTCATTGCATAATCTACTTTTCGGTAGTGTACTAACTCGATGGGAGCTCAATTGACGGGTAGAAACAGATAAGTCACGGTATCAACTGATCATTATACAGAATCCGTTTCTGTTACCAGACGGGGACATTTTGTGCTCATTAACAGTTTTTTAATTATTTTCTTTGATAGTGTAGGGTGTTTCATTTTGCGGACGTATTCTCGGATCAAGTTGCTCATTGAATCATGGCAGTATAAGTTAGGGGAGGGTTTGACTACTTTAAAACTACAATTCATGAAATCAGCATCCCAAATACACCAGAAGGAAGCCCGGTGTGAAAGAAATGATGGTCCCCCAGGGATTATGGTCCCCTTTCTTAACGGCCCTTACTGGCCCTGATTGCGTATAAGATAATGAGGGAAAGTGTTGTATTTAGGTCACCATATAAATCGATGGAGAGTAGGACCATAATTTGATAGGACCTCCTACCCTTTTACACCGGGTCATTTTTTGTAGCCAAAAGACAGTCGTACTTTAATTTAGTTTAGGTTATCAGTACCACTTAGGACGCTAAATACGGGACCATATTGATACAGCCTGTATTTCGACAATTATACAGAGTGGGCCAAAAGTTTCGCGGTATCTCTTTCCGTTCAAATGTTTTTCAGTTTTACACGGGAATAATGTCAAAAACATTGCACGTTGTTAAAATAATTTAGTAAGAATTGCAAGTGCCAGCGTGCTAACTTAACAACCCCTCAATCGTATTATTTCGTGATCACTACCAAACTTGTGTTTAATGTCATGGAACGAAAAAACATGAATCGAAGTGTTTCATCTGAAAGTGACTCAGTTACTCAATTAGGAGAAGGTTTAAAGATGGCTTGACCAAAACCACCAAAGCATCAAATCAACTATGAAGAATAGCATTTTTGTTTACAGAGAGGCGGTAAGTGTAATTACATTCGGGGCAGAATATATTTTACTCTCGCTACTGCTTACCAATTGACACATTATGGACTTCGACATCAAAAAACCGATATTTTTAACCTTCTTTCTGGTTCAATTAGCTAGTGCCAATATTGAAATTGAACTCACTATCGAAATATCATTTTACAGTTCTGAATGCTATATTTTCTCGTGAATTATTGTGATCAAATTACATTAAAGGAACACATTGTAATAGTATTTTAATACAAACACAATGTGCTCCAAATGAACGCATAACCAAATAGCAGATAATGAGTTAAATATGTATGATGCGTAGAACACTCGGAACTGATATTAAAACAACGCTGGATAATTTCCATATATCGCATGCAATTTACTCTCACTTAATCCAAAAAACTGTATCCGCAATACATAACTCAATTGAATGTTAATAATCACTGGCGAAACAGAGATGTACGTATACCAAGTTCCGCGTTATTAGAATTTCACCCAGGAAGGGCTTACCACGACTCTTTATATTGAATTAGTGGATTAAAAGAGATAAATAGTCATTGCTTCGATTGGATGGGATAAGTCTTAACGTAGTGAGGGGGAATCCAACCGAGTTATTAGTGGTAGGATTTTCATTTACTGTTTCGCTGGTCTGATTCTTAATGCCGCTTTCCCAGCTGTTCTGGCTGCAAACTTGAAATAGATAAAAAGCGCTCACTTCACACACATCACGGGAAGAATTCACACCAAAGAGCGGAGTAATATCGGGCCACTTCTTATAGGATTCTTTATTTCTATCTATATGTAATAAAATGGTAAGTGAATGCTTATATATTAAGGTTTCAATAACAGTTATATTGAGCAATATCGTTTGATCTTTTCCATTATTTTCTCTTGCGCGAATTTTGAACTGATTCAACTTGATCGGTGAACGTGCCACCGTTTCACCAGGGATTTCAACAGGCCAACACAAATCAAGTGTTTAAAAATCGTTTTTATGTAATAAACACTTTCTGTGAAATGTTAAAGGTGACACTGACTGATTTTTTTCGAATGATCATTTTCTGATTAAAATTCTGATCGGTTGATATAATTAATATGTACTACTGTTGTGTTTTATATTTTCTAGAGTATGTTGAACAACAATTACGATTTTTATGCCATACACGTTTATATTGCAGAGCAATATGTTCGGTTCCATTGGTCTCTCCAATAAATGACATGTAGAAATATAACGAGCATCCATTGGGACCAGTTCAGTTATCAATGGATGGTTTCTGTACGTTATTCTGGCAGAACAAGGTTTAGTGTTGAAATAGCAACGCAAAACATCAGAATTTATTTGTTACCCACATTTTTACAACCATAGCATGTCCAAGTGAGTTAAAGGGAAATCCTGTAACATTTGCGTTTCTTGGTTTTACATTGAAGCGTCATCATTTCTGAACATAAATGTACATTTCAAAGTTTTCTTTAATTCATACCTTATTTTCGTAAATATCATCGTTAGTTTAACTCATTAAATGATCGTAAAACTGAACTGTGTTATTTGACTCTTATTTGTTAAAAGCCAATGGTAATTGACTTTTTACTGGAAAATGCTATTGTTAATTACTTTTTTTCAAAAACACAATGTTAGTAATTGTGAAATACCTTTATTAATTTATTTCTTATTTTGCGTGAATACCAATGTTAATTCATCACTTATTTTCAAACAATTGTAAGTCATAACTTGTACATAACTTTATTAATTCATCTCTTGTTTACATCAATACCAATGTTATTTCATCACTTGTTTTCACGAATATCTTTACTAATTTAACTCTTTTTGCGTAAATATCGATGTTAGTTCATCACTTATTTTCAAATATACTTTTTTGATTCAACTCTTTCTTGTAAATATCATTGTTAATTCAACTCTTTCTTGTAAATATCATTGTTAATTCAACTCTTGAAAATATCATTGTTAATTCAACTCTTTCTTGTAAATACAGTATCATTGTTAATTCATCTATTTCTTGTAAATATCATTGTTAATTCATCTCTTATTTGCGTTAATATATTACCAATATGATGTTTACACAAAAAATACCATGCTTAATTTTCCTTACACTGACCCATTTTTCATTCAACTTCGATTAAGTGACGGTTTAAACACTCAAAATGATTTTAGTCTGGACATTGGACAACTGTCAACAGTTCTGCAAAATGAGCCAGACAGCGATCACGCGGGTTTGTCGTTGTGCTCTGGAAAATGTTCACCCATAAATCGATGCCAAAAACGTGTGGTTCATTTCCATTTTTAGTTATGCATTTATTGATCTTGATCTATCGTAAATAGAACCACCGTGACTTTGAGAAACATGTCAAAATTAGAGATCAGATTTGTGTTAAAGCATGTTCGCAAGAGAATGTTGAAAGTCGAGAAGGCGGCTACAGAACCACTGCCCATCACATTTCTTTGAAAGTTGAGAGAGGTTTTGTATATTCGCATGTTCTTTGCGTTAACAAGTTTGCCACTTTCATCTTGTATATGTTCCATCACTCGGTAAATACGATTCTTAGTTTCAATGTCAGTTGTTTTTGAATGAACGAAATATAACTGCCAAATGCTTAACCTTGTGATGGTATAAAGTGTATCAACAATTTTGTTCTCATTTTCTCATATTGAAGACGTTTTATGGATCTTTATTCTTTAGTACAAGTTCCAAATTTTTGGGACGATGTCAAATTGAGCACTATTTCATAATAAACGTTTGTTTCAGAGGTCACGGTGATATTGTTTAGAAACCGATTCCTTGATATTAGACTTTTTATTGACAGATCTAATCTCTAGATTCTGATTTCTATTCCTCCAAGGGTTTTTTGGAAAGTCTCTTCGATGTAACGCGAATACATACAAATCATAACATACAATGACGTACCCATAGTTGTAAATAGGCTTTGGACATTGTGGGATCCACAGCCTTTACTATCCTTTTGGAATAGTTCTCAAAAACGTTAGGTAAAGAGGGACTCTGATAAATCAGAATGGGCTTTGGACAATTTAGCAAATTACTAGATTTAGGTATCTTAAATTAAGTCAGAAAATAAATATTAAGTGACTACTTCTCTTGCTAAACAATTTTCAAAAGGCACTATTATTCCGTAGAGTACATTATGATTATATTTGTATTTCCCCCTTATCGATAAGAGTTCGATATTTTTCTTAAATCAAACAGTTATGTTTTTATCCAGTTATCTAGTTCAATATTGTATCAATATGGGCAATATCCCACTCTCATCTGTTATTGGATAATATAGCTTTGATAGCTCAGTATCCCAAGGCAGTCGCGTGGATGTTTAGATAGAGGTCGGAGATAAGCATCGAATGCATCAATCGGATGAAGTGACTTCTTGTTTAAATCTTCAGCCATTTGATCATTTGTATCTCCGAAGTCTTACATCACTAAGTCTCGTATTTCTTTCCTAAGGGCAACAGGACTTCATGTGAGACCGTTTTTGAAGAAACAAAACAGTTGCCGTGACCCAGAACAGGCTAAGGTAGCTTACCACATTGCTGTTACAACCGAGGATAAGGTAGATCATTCCAATGATTGTACCGATTGTCCAATTGGGGAATTCCTCGACTCTAATACAGAGATATTTTCGTTACACAACAACTGGTCTTACATTCATCTCAAATGCAGATTGTTTATATTTCAACATTGCAACTGTTCGTTGCTTGAAATCAAGACGTCTGGGGGTCTGTAAAGGACTGAGTAGATGACGCGAATTGTTTTGTCTGATTCTGGCTCACCTAAACTCACCTAGAGATGTTTTAGCTGACCTTTTATTTTATTCTACGATTTTGCCAAATAATATCATTTAAAACTAACGAAACAGATAGAAAATTACACCCCACCTCTCAGTAACAGAGACCAAGGGTTGATCTAAGCGAGTGTTACTATATCAATTTAAAAGGTGAGAGATGAAGATTAGAATAACACGCTGACCATGATAACGTAACCATATAATCTTAATGCCCAAATAAACATGGCGGATAATGTTACAGATTCAATAGGGGTAGGTCTGTTGCCTTGATCCGAGACGTTCCCATTTGTATTTGTAGCAGATTGGGCAGAGGAACAGACTAGAATAATACGATAATGATACCGTGCATGATAATGTTGCACCTCTTTGAAGTCATTAATCTTACGCCAATGTTATTTTAAGCGGACACTTATCTTTGGTCTGTCTGTCTCAGCATCTTAGGAATCACTGTATGTGAGGTGCACCATTTTGATCCTTCAAGGTATTACATATGACTGAAGGAATACACTGGTTCAACAGTATGGGTACACTGAAATATGAACTTATTGATACATCATTTTTATTTAACTCAACCACACTTGGTAGGTCTCACATCTGATCAGTTAATCTGTTAATTACTCCTGCGAGACTGGTTTCTAAAGTGCATATCAGTCAATTGAGTCATCATTCATCGACTCCATCATTGTTGGCTTTGTTATCACCATCAACTCCATCAACATTCTCCGAGTGTATGTGACCTTTAGTGTGGGCGATAACAGCTGTTAACTCCGTGGGGTTGGCGAATGGGTAACTTTGGATATTTAGGTTAAAAATTCCCAAAAGAATTACAGTATTGTGGATACGTTAGCCAAGAATATCATAATCATGAAAGGGTCAGCATTTTGGTATGATACAAAACTCTCACGCTGTGACAACAACTAGCTTAGTCCTGATTTAGGGACCAACTAATACAGTTCAATATATATTATGAAAGTCAAACAAGAATGCAGTTGTAATATATCGTGACCAATCGGGATGCGAAGGAGAATACTATATCCTAGCATTATTATTTTACCTGGACTATTATTTTGCTTTCTTTCAGATGATGTGACCATTATGTTTACCGTCCTTGATTAGATCAACACTGCATGAAATGATGTAAATAAGGACAACGGATTTGAACATATACCAACTGTACGGAATGTAAACTGCGTTAAGACATTCGCATTAGACGTCCAGCATCTCACTCAATAATGGAAATACGATTTCGGACACTGGTGTCTTGGAAAGGACAGTTGGTCCTAGGAATTTTTCTACTTGCAATAAAAGGTAAGAAATAATACCATTCTTAGTTAAATAACATAGATATTTTCTAGAACTTAAAAGTACAACAATTTTTAAATACCATATAGGCCATGGCTTCAGATAAATTATTGGAAAGCCAAATACCAAAAGCCAAATTACTCTTTCAGAGTTTCAATAAATAAGATTATCTGAATTTACACAGCAGGCAGGCGTTGTCTAAAGCGCTTACTTTACACCATGGAATGATATAATACTGAGTTGTTGTATTGCTCCACAGGTGGAAGACGAAAATAAGAACGAAAACATGTCAGTAAACAGATGTAAATTGCAGTCTATGTTTTATTCTTCTCTACATTGTAAAAGGGTTTTGTGATTTTTATCATAAAGTAGATTCATTCTTGTCTTATCATTGCCCAAATCATGCAAATTACTTTCCATGTCGTATGCGCTATGCAACCATTTCCATTAAACGATTGTTTGCAAGATCGTAATTCTGAAAGCTGCAAATTTGTATCTTGAATATTTTCCTTTAGTTACCATGTTACTATGGAAATAGACAATGCATGGACTTTGAGTAGTCTTGATCTCATGAAAGCCCATGCGCCATATATATTTAGTTGTGTAATTGACTGAGAAATATGTATTTCAAATTTCATGTATCATTGATCTTGAATCTGTTTAGTATTACCATATCTTGTAGGGGACTTTTGAAAGCGGGTCAAGTCATTCTGATTTACCAGACTTCTCCTTTATCCAACACTTTTGAGGGCTACCACTCTTCCCAAGAGATCCACGTCACTCTCTGATTGATGTACTATAACATTAATTATCTTAGTTTCATTAGAAACCTCATTTGCAAACAATTGGTTTTTTGCTTTTATAAATTGCTGGTGACGTCAAGTGTAATTTACCAATGCACTTTAACAAGCTATCAATCACTTGAACTACATCAAATCAATGTAACATCGTGATGATATATTACTTCATCATAAAGAGATTGCGCGAAACTTATGTTTTTGTTTAAATAAAATTCGCAACAAGTGAAATTAAGTCCTACTTATGAAAGTAAATGTATTATCGATCAATTCGTATGTAGTTTTAACACAGAATCTATTTTGGGTGTACATATTGTAGATTGAATGCCAATTTCAAACTACGCAAGGCATCAATGATATATGACCAAGAAATGTGTCCAAATAGATAAGGAGCTATAGGTTTTATAAGCAAAGTTCCTCTTGCAGTATAGGATCATGCAACAAGACTTAACTTCGAATTCGATCCTTGTATGCAAGTTTCAAAGCCCTCGTTTTAAACTGCAAACAAGAGCACCATGCAATAAAACACCAACGATTCATTGGGTCCCGATCTTAAATCGTTTATTATCAAAAAAGCTGCCGGCTTGTATTATTACGACGATCAACTGATCAAACCTTGTAGGTTTGATTGATAAAATTAATAGAATATTGCTTTCTCTTGATTTTAATAAAGGAACTTCATTATTTTCATGACGATATCATAGTGACAGGTTAAATCCCCAACTCTAATTATCAGGAAATAGCAACTCTCGGAGGAGAGAATCGCCACACACTGAGGCGAAATAAAAGCTTCTTATATATGAGTTTATAGTAATTGGAAGGATTTCCTGAATATCTCGAACTGCATCATATCGGTGTTTTGATAATTTTGAGTAAGAATAGCAAGTGATGAAAGATATAATGTTTTATAGTCAGGCTATAAAATTCTTGCTAAGAGTTTAAGCTTACTGCATATCTTGGTTGTAATCGCCAGTCGGCAATAAAACTGATACCATCCAAAATCAAAATAACTGAGATGAAGAACCAAGGGTTAGATGAATCCTATTTTTACTCAGCTGGGGTAATGATGATTTTCTTCTGAATATGAAGAATCTAAGCTAGCTCCCTCCCAAACCGCACTGCGTATTTTGCCCCAATGCCAAGCAAAAGAGTATGTGAAAATAAAGATTTAATTCGTTGAATTCCTCCGGTTATCAACCCCCTAGAATGGATATACCACTTTTCCTTGTTGCATTCATCTTATCAGTGCTACTATGTTATTCCTTTATGACCTGAATCTTTAATATCATTCCATCAACTGACAACAAAATATTTTTAAAAACACTGTGGAAAAAGATTAAATGGGGTAACTTCGATTCTCCATATTCAAAAATAGGATGACCATTTTGGTAATTATGGTTTGATTTGAATTCCATATATGGAGCATAATCAAGTGATATACATGTATTTTGGTTGTTAATTGTAATTTGTTGTTTTTTCGTTCCTGATCAGTATGTAATTTTAGTTGGCTAAAGTTGAGGCCACTACAGAAAATCTTCGTTTTTTCGTTTTTATTTTGGTACCACACCCTTAACTGGAAATCATTTGGCAATCAATGTCTTCCGATGCAACAGAATTGTGAAGAATTGCATTATCTAGAATAATATTTTGACTGAAGTTAGAGACCTGGCTCTCGCATGTTCTATTTATAAAGAGATAAAAGTGTCTACAAATCCTAACTTTTACTAAAATACAGTACATCTGATAAACAACTTAGTATTTACTTGATGACTCAATGATATCTACTCATCTACATATTCATTGTTATTGCCTTTCTAAAATGCATGAAATAGAGTGTCAGTATTTTGGCAGTTTCAGTCAGGTTTGAGAGACTTCTGACCAATTGTTTCTTCGAACGTTATTCATTTCATGATGATGTAATATCGACTTACTTACACGAGTGTCTCTTCATCAATCAATGTATCAGAGTTCTTACATTGTCTCTTGGTTTTGCGGTTAGGTTTAGAAGAGGATCTCATTTGTTTTTCTCCGAAACACAATATTCGATGCAAATTGAACCAATGTCTGGCTTGAATGGGCCAAATTCAAAAGATTAAACCCTGTATTCAATTAACCTTCTCCATTATCCTCCCCATCGAGATCATGTGCTATTCCAGCAGAAGAAAGTACATTATCGTGAAGGCAAAGACCAAAATAATATTAAAACAAAAAGAATGACTAAGAGCACGCACAGGCCATAAAGAAACAAATCCCCAGGAACTGGCAACCGAAATACTGATCTAACGTAAGGAGACAGTATCTAACATGACACCCCTTCCCCACCATCCATAATCAACTAGCAAGATATCCAAGACCATTTGCAGTTCCATTCATACTGAGTTAAAAGAGAGTAATAACTGTATTGGGGAACTAGGCTATGTAATGGGCATCGGTGTATTTGACCCCTTTCTCTAAAGCAGATATCATCCAAGTCTGGGACCTAGTCTTATGCACTTTTCTTACTTACCTGATCTTTACATATGTTTTACATAGAAATATTTAGGTAAATGTCAATATATAGGTAGAACATTTATCCTTCTTAGTTAATGCTACCTTCTCACTTCTTACATTACTGTACTGATACACGTACACCTTGCCTGGCACTTCGCATTTGCTTGTTTATTTTCACTTAAATTGCATCTGTTTCGCTTACAATAATGTCGACAATTATAAAAAGAAAGAAGTTAAGAGCAGGTGTAAGCGTCTATGTTGTTCCATCATTCTCAATTTATCAGAATAAGATTCCTGTTCAAGTTGTGCCGATGTAGAAAAATATTGGATCTTACCTTGCCCCAACTGTCATGACAAGGTCGAATAAGGTCACCATGTAAAATCAGACTTGTAAATTCATATTTATAAGGAAACTTTGGATAATCAAATATTAAAGCAGTAGTCACTATTCGAAAATGACTATTCCAAGGTGTATTCAAACCTTCTATAAACTGTGAACAAAGTCAATATTTCACCAGGTATTTATTCGTCGATACAATACCTGATCTTTTGTTCATGTTTAAGTCGTAATATAGACCTCGGATCAGGTATTATATCGAGTAATAAATACCTTAGGGCCAGACACAAAAGCGACAGAAAACGTTTGTGCCCAGCACTGCGGTATTTATTCGTCGATTTAATACCTACTCTCCGTTCTTTATTTCTAAATTACAAGCGCGCTAATCCACATATGAACACATGATTTCATTATCGATGTTCGTTTGATTGGTGAAAATGAGCATTTAACATAATTCAATGAATCTTGATGGCCAGTTTTGCCTTACGTCCCTCTTGATATCTATACAGACCTTGGCAATGGAGTTGCCTTTGATTATCCTAATGGAAACATCGAATTTACGTTCTAAAATATAAGTTTAATAAAGCAACGATGTTTTATCTAGTTAATCAAATCTGTAAGTGAGTTATCCAATTCTAGTAATGTCTAAATTGAGAGCACCATAAACCAGAGTAGCTCTATTACCAAATAGCAAATTGCTTCATATCACCACTTAGTGCATCCATTCACCTCTCCCCTGGGAATGTACATCATTTAAAATAACAAGAGTCGTAAATATAAGGGGATTAAATGTGACTACTTTATCTTCTCATAATATATACATATGGATGGTGTTTTTATTGTTTTCTTGTTAGGTGGAAAGGTTACTTCTTCCCCTACCATTGTCTCTCACAACGTTCGCTTATTGAGATTTATTCAATTACAGCAATTGTATTTGCTGAATGACTCTTGGGGTTTGGAAGCATTTAATTCAGGCGTATTAATGATTACATTGAGAGGTGTAACAAGGGGAAGAGTAGTTATGTGAAATGAAAATAATGTCTATAAAAATTACTGTCAAGATTTCCGATAGTACGGGAAATCCATAATTATACGAAAATAATCAATGGTTGGTTCTGTAGCTCAGTGGCTAACCAGATCATAATTTGCAAGAGGAAGTCCCCGAGGATCTTAGTCAATCCCAAAACATGCGATTGTACCAGATCATGATTAGTTGTATTTCCTGGTGTACATTTTTCGTTTGGTTTTGTTCTTTTGCACAGTTCGAGGTAAGTTGCAGATATGAAAAATGACACAAACCAATGGGCTCTCGATCGGCGCAATTATTTAGTATTGTTCATTGCGTATTCAATGCATATCAACACGGTGTATAACCCAAACGC